CTACTGAACTCTCGTTTATACCGCTACAGGGTGAAGCCACACTTCTCTGATTGCCATCTAAAAAGGGGGGCAATTCATGATATCAGCAGGTGTTTGTCAGAGGACATGAGGGAGCATGCCCTACATCTGACTGGCAGCAAGCCAGCTACAGAAACAAAGCCCTTCCTAATTAAAGTATTAACAGTACCTTTTGCTCTCAGTGTAGTGACCTGGAATGGCATGTGAGCATCAGAGCAAGCAGGCTCTCTGTTTTAGAAAGGTACCCGATGTATTACACAAAACACTGTAATGACTGTGGTCTTGTGTATTCTAACACCATGATCTTTAGCTGACCGCATACATTTGACATAGGAAATGCAATACAATGCAACATTTGGGCAAGCACTTCAAAGGAACTTGTTACGCGACAGTAAGCAGCAGGCTCAGTAGCAAGTGTTCACAGGCTCAGGGTCCATCTCAAATGATTGTACAGAGTTAAATAATATGGTTGCAGAGAGAGAGAGAGAGACAGACAGACAGAGAGGGAGTTTTTGCCTAACTCAGACTGGACCCCCTCACTGCAGACTATGACATGTTTCTGAGGTGGAAATGCTTCACCATATAGATTGTCAGCATAGGGCCGGCTTCACTCCTTTGCTTTGGCTGCTTTCCACCGATCCAGTTAAATCAGCTCATGGCTGCTTTGCACTCTCAGAGCTGTTGAAAGAAGCCGGAATGTACCAGTGAATCTAGCCCCTTAGCTTTATATTTTAAAAAGTCTCATATTTGTTGGCACAATGCAGTTTCCAGGTGAGTTTTCAAATATTTTTTTGATTCTAGCAGATCTCTTAAGAATAGCGGGTATGAGCATTTCAGCAGAATTTGCTCACACAGTGCAGAAAATCAACTTGGGAATGAAGTCATCATTACATAGCAGAACATATATTTTCACAGTCCGGTTTTGCAATTCCATTTATAATTATACTTGTGCGAATGTAAAGGTTAAAGAAACATTAGCGAGTGTGCCTTTGGAAATACTGAATAGTCAACAAACTTCTTTGTACATTACTGTTCTGTAAACACAGTGACAATACAAAGCAATCGGAGCTGAGGCCCAGGAACGAGTCCATTTTAATGTGTTTAACTTAATAAACAAGGGATTTCTTTTGCTTATATCCATCTGCAACATCTAACCCTTTACAAATAATAATCCTAATGAATAAACATGTCTGTTCTTTGTAGTTTAATACCCTAAGCCTAACAAGGCTGTTCCATCGTCATGTCTGAACAAAGTCTGTATGTCATAATGTAAAATAAAGAAGTAGTTGTTGGTAGTAGGCTTACTTCCTGTGAAACTTACATGTTTCTAAGACCCAAAGGTCAGGGCATTAATGATACTATCTATACTTACAGCCAGGGGTGCCTCTATGTTTTTTGCAGCCCCAAGCACGGCAGTCAGGCTGCCTTCGGCGGCGCACCTGCGGGCGGTCCGCTGGTCACGCGGATTCGGACCTCCCGCAGGCATGCCGCCGAAGGCTGCCTGTCTGCCGCCCTCACAGTGACCGGCAGACCGCCCCCCATGGCTTGCCACCCCAGGCATGCACTTGCTGCGTTGGTGCCTGGAGCTGCCCCTGCTTAGAGCCAGAGAAGTAGATGTTTTATATGCAAACAATGGCATGCTCTCTGGGGGCATAATTCCTAGTAAAATTGTCAGAAGTGATCACCTTCTTTTCATAGAATATGTCAAATGAGTTTGCATGTTGTCTCTTACAGAAGTTGTTAATACAGCAACCGATGTTTTGGCTAATTTAACCCAGTGAATTAATAACGTTGATAAAATTATACTAATTAACAAAACTTTACAGCCTTATACATTTCTCCTACTTTTGTGTGTGTTTGCATGTGTGTATCTGACATGCATGGGAGAGTTGGAAAATTGGGCAAACCTTAGGTTGTTGCTTTGTATTGACTTTCTCCCATGTCTGTAGGACCCCTGTCAGGTTTATCCGGACTTTGCATAAATGGGTCTGTACTCTCTGCGTAGCCTGGCTCCAACCCCAGAAGCTAATCAACACCTTTCATATGTGTTTGATACAGATTAATTTAAAACAGATACTTTTGTTACAACGCATAGCTGTAGCCTGTGATCAGTGACACAGCTGCCCTGAGGAGTTTAGAGAACATAAGAATGGCCAGACTGGGTCAGACCGAAGGTCCATCTAGCCCAGTATCCTGTCTGCCAACAGTGGCTTCATGTGATTCAAAGGGAATGAACAGAACAGATAATCATCAAGTGATCCGTCCCCTGTCGCCCATTCCCAGCTTCTCACTGTTTCTCAATGTACTTTTCTTTGGACTTTGGGACAGTTTGAAAAACTGCTTTCTGAGGGCCTCTTGTTTTAGAGTTTTAAACTAGTTAGCTAGTCACCACAACTGCTAGCTGAGGAACTGTTGTGTATTTTCACTGTGGGAGTGGGTGAGTTGTGTTCTACAAAATGATTTTAAACTGCTAGGAATTTGTGCTTAGTTATTTTCTTTTTTGATGGGGGAGGGTTGCATGGATACTCTCATGTGAATACTGGGCTTTTGCAAAATTTTCTTTCCATGCGCCTGATCTGAAATTAATGGAAAGACTCCCAGTGGCTTCAAGAAGCTTTGAATCAGGCCCCATGTAGGGGAGGGTGAATTTGTATACAGCAAATTCCCAACCCCTGTGACATTTCCTTTAGTTGGACAAATCCTGGTTTTACATGTTTTCTCAAAAGCTTCCAAGAATACCGTCCCCCTTTTCTTCCGCATGTGTAGCTTGTGACCATTTTTAACTAAGATCACTTTTCCTTTTCCAACAGGGCTGTAATTTTTTCCAGTTGGCCTGTAAATTTGTCCTGTTACAGGCAGCAGTTTTTCTTCTTGTGATTTTAATCTAAAATCAGGTGCAACAAAGCTTAAGTGCCTGCATGCCCACCCAACGTTTGACACCAAAAACTTTGGCTGCCCTCTGAAAAGGGGGGAGGGGGAGGGTCTGACTTATATTTGCCTTTGAGAAAATAATCTTTATACGAGATTTTGTGCTCATATTATCATAAAGGTGTATCATACACAGTCTACAAAAGGAGGATAGACTTCTGACATTACAAGCATTTTTTGTTTTCACTTGTAGCTTTGAAATCAGGCATAGTGTCTGGCTCCTGCAGCGTTGTTTAACCCAGCTACCATGTCTGCAGGGGGACTAAAAATTATAGTTGTGAAGTGTGTGTAAAAGAAGAGTTTTCTTCACAACACACCTTATTATCAGGGGTTATTTTAAATACACAGGGTTAAATTTTTTGGGGGTGTAAATGGATGCAGCTCCTTTAATTTCACTGCAACTTTACATATTTACCCCAGGAGAGAATCTGGGCCCTAGAGTGTTTGAAATCTTCTCTTTAATCATTCTAGAGAAAGAAAACATATAAGCCTTTTGTGGTGTTTTAGTTAATTTTTGATTCTAGCAGATCTCTTTTCCCCACAAATATTAATTTTATCCCTTAAACATATTTTAAACAATTATGCACCAAATTCTCTCTCCTCCCCTACTCCCATTTTAGTTTTTCTTGTGATTGTTGAATGCAATACTTTGTTTCCAGGAGTATCACTATTTATTGGCTAGTGGATTAACAATTCCAGTCCACACATAAAAATCCCATTGGCTATTCTTCTACTTAAGAAAGGTGGATACAAGTACCAAAAAGGGGATATGGGCAAGGTTCAGAGGAGGAGAGACCAAAAGGAAAACCCAGTGGCAGGAAGGTGAAGAGTCAGGGTGGGAGTGAATGGTTCTGAAAGGTGGGGATGAAAGGAAGGGAATAGACAGGAAGTGGCAGGATTTATACAGGAAGTGACTTCAACATCATTATCTATTGATCAATCTCCTATTTATCCCTCACTCTTGATTTGACAGGGAGGGGTGTCATATTTCTTGCATCCTGCTGTAATTTAAGAGAGAAATTGCATCACAGCTCCTCCAGCTTTTACGTAACTGCCACTCCATGGATTTCATACAGTGTAATAGGCAGGTAAACAGCCACAGGGGAAAAGGGAAGTATGAAGCAAAAACTGTTTAATACTAAGACACGTGAAGACATAAGCAAGTGGCAAGAGGGCAACCTATATACACAGTAGAGAAGGAAGCCAAATCCATCAACATGACACTCAGAAGCCTGAACAGACCAGCATAAGACCAAAATAAATGGCAGAAACAGGTAGATGCCCTATGCACAAGAGGGCGTGGGAAGATTAAAAAAAGAGAGAGAACAGACAAGTGCAGGACCAGCCAATGGTGCTGCAGAGCTTGGGAGAGGTGTGCTGCCATTCTTGAAGGGGTGAGGCCTAAGAGAATGCAGCAGCAGTGGAAGACTTCAGGGATGGGCTGGGAGGACTCCATGTGTTTGTCCAGTGGTTTCCAGGCCATGTAAGATGTCCTGGATGCTACCTTTCCTGCTTTATCCAGCCACTGGTTCACTAATCCCAATGAGATGATGAGGCAGACTGAGGACCCTTCAAAACCCATTCAGGGCTTAACCATGTTAAAACCTCATGCAATAAACTACCCGTGGGGTGTAACTTAGCCTGAAGCATTGTTTCTGCTAGCATGACTGTTAAAGATAAATCCCTGCTTGTATTGTTTAGGCAAACTGTGCTACAACCATGCTAGCTATAATCAAGTTTGGGAAACCCTTGCTGAGTAGCACCTGAGCCACGCTCAGCATGTATTGTAATATTTCACTCCTTTTGAAAGACTAACACTTTAGTCAGTGATAGTTAAATGTGCTTTTGTTTCAGCTCTCTTCACTATCTGTAGTGTCACTAGATTTGTAGGATTGTATTCTGTTCTCAGTTACACTGGTGTAAATTCAATGTGCTTAGCAGAGTTACACTGGAATAACACGGATGTAACTGAGATCAGAGTATGGCCCGTACAATGTTGTCTTATCATTTTAAAAGACATTACTATGGTGATACTTTTTGCCTTTTCAGGGTTTCTCATTAAAGGAGCAAATCATCATGTCCAATCCTGTTGTTCTGCGCAGTATTAGGAGATTTGAAGAGGATAACTACATTTATGACTCAGATGGATCATGTAAGACATTTACTCTTTAATCAGCTTCTACTTTAATTTCAATAGCCTGCTGAAAACACATGCCATACTAGATATTGCAGTTCACATAATTATGGGCATATTTTATTCAAAACAACTTTTGTTTACAAGCCTAAAGCAACAATCCATGTAAGTGGATGATCTCTTCTTATCAGCCTAGCTATCCACAGTATCTGTCTATATGTCCCCATCATCTGTCTACCAAATGTAACTAATCTATCTAGATTTTCATACCAGGATCATCACCATGGTATCTGAATAACTCCATTGACTTCAATGGTCTTTCAGCAGGGATGACTCTGACATTCCTCTTTACATTTTAGAACTCACAATAAAAGCTGAAACACCTGTGTCCTGCAGGTTTCTAGGGTTGATTTATTATATTTAGAATTTCTTTTAAATGTGTGAACAGCTCTTGCTTTCCTCACCCCTCTCCAGAGCTTCCTTTCTCTCCTCCTTCCACTCTTGCTTCATTTCTCCTCTTCGAGCTTCTTTTTTTTTTAAAGTGCTTGTTAAACACCAAGCATCTCAGTTCAGATTAAACAGGAGGTACTGGCAGGAGGCTTGGGGTGTTAGGTGAAGATGAGGAGGAGAAAAATGAAGAGAAGCTGCTGAACATCTTGACCCTGACTTATATGTTTTGGTATAAGCAGGTGGAAAATTAAAGGGACACTAGATATTTATATTTAATTGCAATTGCAAATGGAAGCAAGTTAACATGGTAAAATAGTAACTACATATGCAACAGGCAAAAGCAAAGGCACATTATAAGGAAATACATGTCCATACATGACCTCTGGATTTAAGCACAAAGCCCACACTCATTACATCTGCCATTCCCACATGCAAGGCCAAAGATGCAGTGGAAATACTGTGCTTTCATTGGGAAGTTTGCGGTGGGCAGGCCGTTGAGTCCCCGGGTGCATGGAATTCTTTGCACCCTTTGCACTGTGGCACACAGCTTTGCAGTGACCACGCAGAGCAAGGGGCATGGAAGTGTCCATGCTAAGTGCTGTGTTGCTGAATGGTAGAGAAAGTAAGAAGATGGGGATTTTCTATTCAAGCTGCAGCAAGAATTGGTTGAAAAGTAAAACATGATTCCAGTCCATATTAGGACGTAAAAATGGGCCGTGGGTTGCCAGTGCACTGGAAAACTCTAGAGATATGCACTGACTCTTCAGGAACTTGCACAATGACTATTCAAGCCAACTCTGTGCTCCCAGTGGTGTTGCTGTCCAGAGCTAGTGCTTCATGGTGTGCCACACAAAGTGACTTGTGATAAATATTTTGAGTACTGATCCTTATGGTAAGGCCTCCCCAGTAGGACCACTGTCGAGACAAGCTACATTTTAGGGCCATCATCCTTGACAGCATCTCTTGATGCAAAGGGTCAGATCGTGGCTGTTAGGCCGTGGCCTGAGTTGCTGTGGAGGCTGAGGTGCTGTACTGCAGCCAGAGTCCCCAGGTGGAATTCTGCCTCTCTAAGTCACAGTTCTTCCAGGGGCTTCCCAGGAGTGGACATCTGTGTGACAGCTCAACCTTCCCCTCAGGGAATGGAGCAGGTACCCCTTTCTATGTACTGTCAGTGCTGGTGGCAAAGCTACAGCCCCTCCCCTCTACAGCCCCTTTCAAGCTGCTGGCACACTGCACATGACTGTGCCACTCATCAGGACTGTGACTGACAGAGCCAGCTGGATAATAGCGAACATTATTTACCATCACATTATTTGCCACTTGATGGGAATACGCCTCAAATAATGTATTGAGTGAATAATATTCAGTCATATGTTCGTGGTTAATTATTAAAGGGGAGAGTGACAACTTTAGCAATTAATTCGTTATGCGCAATCAAGGGTGCTGGAACAATTTGTATAGTGGGGGTGCTGAGAGCCATTGAACCAAACTGTAAACCCTGTATATGATGGAAACCACTTCAAGCTGGGGGGTGCTGCCGCACCCCTAGCTCCAGCACCTACATGCACAATGAATTATTTCACCAACATTAATGCCTGGTGCCCGAGGTGGTGTATGAGTGAGAGGAGTCTCCTTGAATCTGGGGAGGACTGGGTACCTTGGGCCCTAAGGTTTATTTCGAGAACGTGTCTGTTGGAGACTATGCAGTTTATCAATAACTATTAACTATGGTTTGTATTTATTTCCCCCAACAGATAACAACCATAAGAAACCAGAGTAAGTTCCATAGTTGCTCATTGATCAGACAATCATTATTTGTTTCTAGAACTATCAAGTGAAATAAATGTTATTAACACGTGACATTAATGCATGTATGGTATTTATGGTATTTGAGATGCAGACATGCACTTTGCTTTCTGAAACTGCACTATTCGATTCAGCTGAGGCAGGCTAAAGCAATCTTTATAGAAGAGGTGAAGAGAAGTGTTGAAGATGTAGAGTAATGGCTGCAAAATATCAGGGTCTCCTTCAGCAAACCCCTTTAATATTCATTTTGTGTCTGTTCACACCACACCCCCCTCCCCCAACCACCCAGCGTGGTTTGGAGAATAACATTGTGGGGGAAGTTTCAACATAAACTTCATAACTTTTAGAAATATGAGACTAGAAGTGAAAAAGATTCAGTCGAAATCATTCAGCAGGAGAGGAATTGAGATTGAAATACAAATTCTCAGCTATTCACAGATTGAAAGGTCATAGAGACCCCAATCATTCTCTGTAACTGACAAGTGCTTGTGGGGAACATAACACCTCTATGTTCCTTGATTCTGGAGTTGCTCTACACCAGATCCTGAGAACTTCTGTAAATTGCACCTCTTCTTCATGGCCACAAAGGGCTGTTTCAGGAGCAGGGAATCACTAGCGTTGTTTTATTTTTTGATTTAGTTTTTATTTGTTACATATTTTAAAATTTTTAAATGTCATGTAAACTCAAAACCAAATCCACTACTCATACAGCTCTCACCACATAAAAATGTTTGGTATAACATAGATCCCATTCCTGTTGACTTGACGGGACCTTTAGGCTTTATAAATTACTGCTGTGTGTAATAGGCTAATGTGGGCATTGCTGGAGGGTCAAATAATACTCTCCAGCAGAACCCCTGCGGAATGGGATAGGAAGAGAGACTCCAACCCACTCCAGGCATGCAGGTGTGGTGTGGTCCCATCCAGTCAGCAGTGCTAGCAGCCTGGTGGATGTGGGAGCAGGAGAGGACATTTACACTGGAGATTCACAGGAAACACAGGCCTATATCCTGTGTATCTCTGGCCTTCTTGCAAATCAGTTGTTCCTCCCTGTGACCTCAAGGAATTCCCAATCCATGTTATAAACAGTGCTGTGAAGTGGGACTAGCGGTGGCCCCAGCAGCATAAGCCTTCATGTCTCTTTAACCACAGAGTTTTGTTCCTAATCTGAGTGCTGCATATTGGCATCTGCTTCTCTGGTCCATCCCTTCTCATCACAGTGCACCATCCTCCTGGTACTCCTGGGTGGAGGGGATTCTGCAGGATCAAAGACATGGGGGAGTTTTTGATGGAGCCACTGCTCCCCTTTTTGCATATCATCCACCCCAGGCCAACAGTCCCCTCCGTCAGCAGAGCTAGAAAGGAGCACTCAGGCCCAAGAAGCTGTTTAAAGTAGGTTTAGAACTGGAGGCATTCTACAATGGTGAGATGTCTACAGCTTTCAGAAAAACCTACATCGAATCACTGCCCTAGAACAAGTCTGAGAGAGAACCACATCATATAGGATTTTAGAAGAAAAATTGTGTGGCTAAAGTGTCCTACAAAAAAAAAAAATGATGCCATTGATAGAATCAAGTGAAAGAAAAGACTCAGGTTAAAAGTGCTTATTCCAGGTATTTCTATACAAATGAGGAACCTTCTCCAGAGAATAAGAAAAAGGAGACAAGGGAGTTAAATTCAGCTTTATATGCAATCATTAGGCAAGAGAAAATATATGATATAGCTGGAAATTGCAGTTTTATAATTCTACATTTTGTTTTCTTGAAGGTCATCAAACAAGAAAGAAAATGACATTCGGCTTGGCTTCTTTCAACTGGTAATGAAAGTGTTGGATTTAAATATGTTACACATACTGTGGGGTCACTGAAATGTGTCTTTAGTTGCAGTATGTAGTTGTGACTCAGTCAAACCTTTAGGTGAAATCTTGACCCTACTGAAGACGATTGGAGTTTTTCACTGGCATCAGTAGAGCCAGAATTTCACCCTTTGTCATTATGCCACATGTATATTGCCTATGGGTCATGATTATCTGCTGGGTACATTGTCATTAGAGCAGGTCAGAAATTTTTTTCTGATCCTTTTTTTTATTTTACAAAATATTTTTATTTTACAAAATATTCAGAGTTCTATACCCACATCAGACATATGTTAAACTGTTTTGATGGTTAGGTGTAAAATACACAGCATGTACGTACCATATGTGGCTAGAGAGCCGATGCCACATAAAACTGGGCATTTTCCAAGGTTTTAGGGCAAAATCATTAATTTCATTCTATTTTTCAGACTTCTTTCTTTTTTTTTTCTTTCTCCCTTTTAACACTGTAGCACTTCACTGTTGATGGGGGTGGGCAAGCTGTTTGGGTCAAGGGCCACATCTGGGAATAGAAATTATATGGTGGGCCATGAATACTCTCAAAATTGGGGTTGCGGTGCGGGAGGGGGTGAGGGCTCTGGTTGGGGGTGCGGGCTCTGGGGTGGGGCCAGAAATGAGGAGTTCAGGGTGCAGGAGGGGGCTCTGGGCTGGAGTGGGGGGGATGCGATGGGGTGGTGAGGGCTCCGGCTGGGGGTGAGGGCTCTGGGGGATGAGGAGTTTGGGGTGTAGGAGAGTGCTCCGGGCTGGGACTGAGGGGTTCAGAGGGTGGGAGGGGGATCAGAGCTGGGGCAAGGGATTGGAGCACGGGGGGATGGTCAGGGGTGCAGGCTTTGTGCGGTGGTTACCTCAAGTGGCTCCCGGAAGCAGTGGCATGTCCCTTCTCTGGCTCCTATGTGGAGGTGCGACCAGGCGGCTCAACACACTGCCCCGTCCGCAGGCACTGCCCCTGTAGCTCTCATTGGCCATGGTTCCCGGTCAATGGGAGCTCCGGGGGCAGCGCTTGGGGCGGGGGCAGCGTGCAGAGTGGAGTCCCCTGGCTGCCACTACGCACAGGAGCTGGAGCGGGGCCATGCTGCTGCTTCCAGGGGCTGCGTGGAGCGGCCTCGACCCTGCTTCCCGGCTGGAGCGCCGGAGCAGAGCAAGCCCCAGACCCTGCTTCCCAGCAGGAGCTTGAGGGCTGGATTAAAATGGCTGGTGGGCTGGATCCTGCCCGCGGGCCGTAGTTTGCCCACCCCTGCTGTAGACATTACCTATGCCAATGGGAGGGATTCTCCAGCTGGCGTAGGTAATCCAGCTACCTGAGAGGCAGTAAGTAGGTCGACAGAAGAATTCTTCTGTCAGCCTACCATTGTCTACGCTGGCGGGTAGGTCAGCTTAACTATGCTGCTCAGGGGTGTGGATTTTTACACCTCTGAGCAACGTAGTTAAGGGCATGGCTACACTTGCAGATATAGAGCGCTATGAGTTAGACCCGCCTTCGGAGAGCGCAGTAGGGAAAGCACTGCAGTCTGTCCACACTGACAGCTGCTTGAGCGCTGGTGTGGCCACATTTGCAGCACTTGCAGTGGCATTGGGAGCGGTGCATTATGGGCAGCTATGCCAGCATGCAAGTGACTGCAACATGCTTTTCAAATGGGGGGGGGGTGAATGTGACAGGGAGTGTGTTGTGCGTATGTGGGTGGAAAGAGAGTGAGGTTTTGGGGGGCTGAGAGCATGTCAGCGTGATATCTTGTAAGTTCAGACAGCAGGAGCCCTCCCCCTCCCCCCGGCCTCTCTCTCTCTCTCTCTCTCTCACAGCATTCCACAGTAACGGCTTGCATGCCGGCTGTCAGAAACAGAGCTTTGAAAGGGCATTGCCGCATTCTTACAGGAGTTCAAAACAATGACAAGAGTGGCCACTTGATTTAAGGGGATTATGGGACGTTTCCGGAGGCCGATCAGAGCGCAGTAACCCAACACCTCGTTCACACTGACGCCCGTGTGTTGTAGCCAAGGCGCAGCAAACGTTATTCCTCTTGCCGAGGTGTAGTACCAGCAGCGTTGTAGCCGTGGAGTCAGAGCGCTCTACGTGCCTTGCCAGTGTGGACGGGGAGTGAGCTAGTGCGCCCGGGGCTCCTTTATTGCGCTGTAACTCGCAAGTGTAGCCAAGCTGACTTAACTTTCTTGTGTACACCAGGCTTTAGTCTGTCTTATGTCTTCGTCTGATTTTCACCATCACAATATCTCTGTCTTTTATGTTTGCTCTGTTTCTCTACCTTTTTTTGTCCCTTGACACCTTACAGCATCTGTGTATTACTTGTATCTATACTCCACCTCTCTCCAGTATGTAAATCTCATATTTTACACTGCATACTTATAAATATCAGTCTCCCTTTCAGCAAAGAGAGATCACTTCTCTAATAGAACCTGATCATAACACTCTACATACATTAATTGGTAGTGTGTATCTATGCAACATCCCAACCTGAGTGAATTTACTCAAATTTCTACCATATAACCACAGAACCATCAGGAGTAAGTCACAATAATTTACCTTATTCATAGGTTGTGTAGAATGTCCTAATTTAAAAAAAAAACATGCAAAGTTGACTATACAAGTAAACGTGAATTTCAAGGACATATTCACAGTAAATCTTTGAATCAAAGTGTAGAATACTGATACCTTGTAGTGATGCTTTATTATTTGGGTTTCATTTTTTGTTACTCTCTGCAAGTCTAATTATACATTCACTCAGAGGGCCGAACTCTGCTCCTGTATTCATGGATAACTCCCACTGTAATCAAGGGGGATTACACACCCATGCAATGAGAGTAGGATTGGTTCTACAGCTGTAGTAAAAACAATTCTGAATCAAATATTCACTAGTAAACATTGCTGAAATTACTCCCCTGAAATGTCAATCAGGGACATATGATTAATGAATAAATAATGCATAGCTAACACCAAAATCACTCGGACAGTATTTTTTTCCCTCTCTTAGTTTCGATTCTCTTCATCATCTGAGATTTTGATGATGGCTTTTGGTAGTTTCTGTGCCATTCTTCATGGTGCAGCCCAGCCATGCATGTTGCTTGTCTTTGGTCTGATGACAGACACATTTATTCAATATGACATTGAGAAGCAAGAGCTTAGCAACCCAGACAAGGCATGTGTGAATAGCACCATAGTGTGGATCAACAGTTCCCTTCACCAAAATGAAACAAATACATCAATAAGTTGTGGGTAAGTGGTCCATGGAGTTTGTTTCTTTTTTTTCTTCTTAAACACTGTAAGTGAATTTCTTGCTAGAGAAAAGGGCCCAGTTCAATCTAAGAGGCGAAATGTTCTATCTATAGGAAACTTGCCAATGTTCTTTCTGTTCTACTACTATGCCTCAAGTCTCACCTGCAAGGACCACATCTAGGTATGGGAGGGTATCTCATGCCTATTCAGCCCTTGGTCTCTCAACTAGAACTGTCAGCAAGGATGCTGTTTACTGGTGGCTGTTTCTATGATAGGGAGGGACCCCTGCATCCAGGAACAAATTTGAGACCCCTAATGTATTTCACAGAGGTAACTAAACATCCATTAGAAGGGAAAGACTTTTGGTCATTTTCCACCTACCTGAACCAGATTTAAACTAGTCAGTTCAAGACAAAAGGCTCTGTAGCTAGGTATCAATTCCCTGAGTCATCTAGGCTCCCGGCAACTTCTGTTGAATTGAAAATGATTCATCTGACTGCCTCTGATGTTTTATGTTTCCAATGCTCAGTTTCTGCAGGAGCTCAGGCTACATGATCATAATGGTCCCTTCTGGCCTTAAAATCTGTGGCTCTTCTAATTCTGAGTTTGATGAGCTTTTAAGAAAATAGACTGGCTCCTACTCTCACCATTACATATAGAAATCTAGAGAAATAGCCAGGAAGCTCCACTGAACTATTTTGAAATAATGTAAAAGTAATAGCAGCAAATTGGTGTTCATCATGGAGATTAGGGATAATTTAGTATTTCCACATGATCTGAAGGAAATGATTATTTCAGATTGGGTACAACAACCACCCCTCACACTTGTCTATAGAACATTGTTTGATTTTTGCTACCACATTAGCATCTATATTGGTAAAAAGTAATGCAGGGCTTGTCTGCATGAACATTTAGTTCACTGCAAGCTGGGGTGTTACTCTAACCCACACTAGCCTGTTGTGAACTAACTGGCCATGTGGACTGTTCCTTACTGTGCTTTTATCTAGTCCTGTTTGAAAGTGGGATAGATCAACATATGCTATGTACTCCTGAGGGAATTCTGGGCCAAAAAATTAAAAATTATGTGCACAATATTTTAAAATTCAACACATTTTATTTGTCAAAATAACACAATATAATCACACTCTTTTCAATTATTTGCTGACAAGTATTTTGAAATAAATTACCAAAATAATTGAAAAGGGTGTGATTATATTCTTATTATGTTATTGTGTTATGCTGACAAATATAATATGCAGAATTTTAAATTCTAATTTTTTTCATCTCCGTTGTCCTCCTTCTCCCCCTCCCCCCCCGCCCAACTGGAACTAACATCTCTGGGCAGCCAGGGCATCCCCACACCTCCCCTTCCAACCCCCAACCCCCCACAGTGACTGGGTGTGCGGGTGCCTGAACAGACACACTCGTGCTGCCGGGGAGGAGTGAGTGAGCGCTGGTTCGGGAAAACAAAGAGAATCTGGTGGGAAGGGGGGACATGTTTCTGCATACATGTAGTGGCACTGAATTCCCCCAGGAGTAGCTATGAAACTTTTAGTGCACATCAGCAGGGTCCACATGGACAGTTAGTTCACAGCAGACGAGTGTTGGGTAAATTCACACCCCAGCTTGTGGTGAACTAAATGTTCATGTAGACAAGCCTTTAGTTACTTTTGTTCATGGCAAGCTGGGGTATGAATTTACCCCACACTAGCCTGCCGGGCACTCGCTGTCCATATAGACAAGTCCTATATAAGGTCACTATCTACTGAAACTATGTTGGACACCTCTTCCCCAAAACAATCCTTTCCTGCATCTTTTCATTGCATGAGGTCTGGTGGTGTTTCACAACCATCCACTGCAAACTACTCCACAGCACTCCTTGCATTTCCCAGTCCCCTCCACATCTGCATTAAGCTCAGAAACAATCTGCCCCTTGAAAACAATAGACTGTTAATGAACAGCAGTTTAGGGGACACCCCATTATTTCTGATATCAGAAGAAGCGGTTTTGCCACTTCTTACCCCCAAGATGTGATGTTGTGCCAGCTTTAGAAATCAATTACCAAAGTGCCATTATTTTAAATTATCCTGAATAATAAATGCAGGGAATGCCCTTGAAACATCACTGTTAAGTGGACTGTTAAGCAGATTTGCTGTCAGAAATTTGTAACAATGTTGTTTAATCTTCTAATTTTATTTTATAGGTTCCTGGACATTGAAAGTGAAATGATCAGATTTGCAAGTTACTATGCAGGAATCGGGTGTTTGGTGCTTGTGTTAGGATACCTCCAAGTCAGTATTTGGTTCCCCGTGTTATTTCCAATATATAAAACACTAAACTGTTATGTTTCATAAGAAAGGGTCCTATTTACTGTATATTTTTGCACAATGTAATGGAGAAGGCATACGCCCTTGCAGAGTTTCAGATTTTAATTTCATTGGGTGAAACTCGCCTCTGTGCAGAGGGCCAGCCCGAGTCTAGATAATTGTAGGGCATAAGCCCATGTTGGTCCATTGCGTAGGGGTGAATGTCACGCAGTGTGAGATTAGTGCATGCAGCTTCTGTTTCACCACATGCAAAGTTTGCTCCACAATGGTTAGGGAAACAAAAAATTGACTAACATAGCCAAATTCAAAGTGTCAAAAGCATCATACCAAATGTCAGTGAGGACAAGTTATTTCTTTAGTCTTTAGACTATACAATATGATATTATATATTTCATTCTATCTACCATATAAAGGACCTGATTCTCCTCTGACTTGCATAGGAATAAACCAGGAGTAGCTGCAATGAGGCCTATGGAGATACACTAGTGTAAAATTGGTTTAAGAGGAGAATCAGGCCCAGAATTTTCTGAAGTAATGGCTCAGCCCACTACAGCTTATCCCTGTGTGATGTGCTCTGGGGTTTGGACCATTCCTGTAAAATATTCTAGTAGTTATTTTCAACAGGAGAAGCCATTTTTCACTCTTCCTCCTAAAAGCACATGGAGTTTTGCTAGTGCAGAATGGTTGCTGCTCTAGCACTGGCTTTGTTTCGGCAGCGAGTGATGTGATCTGTACATTACTTACAAATATAGATGGCCAAATTTTGTCCCCAGTGACAAGCATGCAACCTCATCAAAGTCAGTTGTCTTGCATTACCTCTCCAACTCTTATAATTGAGGCAACTGCTTGGACAGCCCATGAACATTTTGGAGGTGTCAAAAATTTTCCTATTCTGCATTGGGACAAAACTGAGACCTGAAATAAAATACAAAATATATGTGTGTGTGTGTGTGTGTGTGTGTGTGTGTGTGTGTGAGACAGACAGACAGACAGACACACACACACAGAGACACCCACTCTAGAATAGCCAATAGCCCAGTGATTAGGGCACTCACCTCAGAGTTGGGAGGCCTATGTTCAAGTTTTTGCTCTGAACAGGGCCGGCTCTGGCTTTTTTGCTGCCCCAGGCAAAAAAGCCTCCGGCCGCCGCCCCCCCCCCCCGCGGGCCCGGGGGGGGGGGCCGGGGGGGGGGGGGGCGGGGGCCCCGGGGCGGGGGGCCCCGCCCCCCCCCCGGCAGCCGGGGGGAGGGCGCCGGAGGGGAGGGCGGCCGGAGCCCTGGGAGGAGGGTGGCGAGCCCCGGCGGGGGCTCGGCTCTCCCCCCGGCGGCCAGAGCGCAGGGCTCTCCCCCCAGCGGCCAGGGGGAGGGCGGCCAGAGCGCCGGGGGGAGGGCGGCGAGCCCAGCTGTGGCCCCGCTCTCCCCGGCGGCCGGAGCGCCGCGCCGCCCCCCTCCAGGTGCCGCCCCAAGCACCAGCTTGGTTGCCTGGTGCCTGGAGCCGGCCCTGGCTCTGAATCTGGAAGCAGGGTCTCCCAAATCCCAGGTTCTGATGAAAATTCCCGAGCAGCTGTACATCAAGTAGATGTCACATGTATGTAGTTAGAATATAATGGTTATCTCATCATTAGCCATGTTACTTTTTTGCAGTTGTGGGAGTGGAAATGGTTTTCTTAACAGTAAGTCAGTATCCACATTACTGTCTTCCCAGATCTGCTTTTGGGTAATGTCTGCAGCTCGTCAGATTCAGAAAATCAGGAAAGCGTATTTTAGGAAAATAATGAGAATGGATATAGGCTGGTTTGACTGTACATCAGTAGGAGAACTGAATACACGAATCTCTGAGTAAGTAATCTAGAAGAACTCTATGCCACAGTGCATGTCTTTTTAGCAGGGCCGGCTCCAGGCACCAGGCAACCAAGCTGGTGCTTGGGGCGGCACCTGGAGGGGGGCGGCGCGGCGCTCCGGCCGCCGGGGAGAGCGGGGCCACAGCCGGGCTCGCCGCCCTCCCCCCGGCGCTCTGGCCGCCGGGGGGAGAGCCGAGCCCCAGCCGGGGCTTGCCGCCCTCTCGCCGCCCTCCCCCCGGAGCTCCGGCCGCCACCCCCCACGGGGGGGTGGGGGTGGCCGGAGGCTTTTTTGCCTGGGGCGGCAAAAAAGCCAGAGCCAGCCCTGCTTTTTAGTTTCTAAGGTGCTGTGAACAATGAGCAGTACATAAAAGACTTTAGAAGACTCGGTCGACTAAAGGCTAAGCCATCTCCTATTGACTTCATTGGAAGTTGGATCAGGCGCTAAAGACCTGATCCAAACCCCTTCAAGTCTTTGGAAAGACTCCCATTGACTTCAATGGGCTTTGTATGAGACCTTAAAACCCCAGTTATGGACTCCTAACTTAGGTAGCATAGATACTCTTGTGACAGGGGTCCATATAAATACATAGACTGTCAGAGAGGTTATCAGCTAAATTCTACTGTAAGTTCCACAGTCCAAATTTGGAGAACAGGAGAACTGAATCTTATAAAGAGCTAAAACAATACATTGAGCATCCCATTCATAAAAAAATACTGCATACAGAGAGAGCAGGGAAGTTACATTCCAACTACTGTCATTGTCACTTCCCTGTGACTACAGAACTTTTTTTCCCTTCTGCCTCTTGCCATTGCATAGTGGTGCCTCTCACTTCCAGTAAAGTTCTGGACCAAGATCAATTGTGTGTGAGCAAGAAGAACTTCAGGGGAAAAAGATGATGTAAATAGCTTTGCATTTCCAACTACGCTGATGTAAGCCAGTTCTCATCTTTGGCACCACTTTGTGTCACACACCCAGAGAATACTCAGCATCAAAACATTCCAGAGAAACCTTCCAAACTTGTAAACATGTTTCATAAATCAAACATGTTTATTTTTGCAGTAGATAATGTAACATCTTACTGAATGCACCAATGTGCTAGTAGTTCTGCTTCTTATGGCTATTCCAAACCTCATGCCCTCTGCTCCTGAGGGTGACATGAGTGGACTGCTTTGCAGTTCTCATGCATGAGGTGACAACCAAGAGCTGCGGAAGTGTGTGACCACTGAGTCATATTAAGACCCGACAGAAATGTCTTCTGCACTGAGAAAGCGCATTACACAGGAGAAATGCACCTGTGTGTTCATTGTTACTGAAAACTGTGCAGTTGCTCTAGGGCTAGATCGTGATAGTCATTATCTGTCACACGGGAAGGGTAAGGGATTGCACCGGAAGCCTTCCAAGGGCCTCCCACAATAGCAGTTCATACACTCCCTGCTCCATTCTGTCCCCCCTCCAAGGGAACACGAAGCTGGAAAAGCGGTGGGGAGGGGCTAGGAGAGAGAGGGAAGAGTTGGGATCTTGGCCTTGTCCTCCCTCCGAATCATCCCACAGAGAAGGGCTGGTACACCAAGGGAGGCAATGCAGTCTATTTTAAGGGACAAAGGGCAGGCTGCTCAGCCCCTGGGGGAAGTGGTTATCTCAAGTCCTTCTTTAGATTGCACACACACATACCTCTTGCCATTGGGGAATTGCACCAACTCCTCTCTACAGCCCAGAGTTTCTGAAAGTGGTGATAGTGGGAAAGAATAGGGGCAAGGAAAATTACAGGGCCCCAATTCAGCTCTGAATTATAATGCAGGGGAAATGAGATCCATCTATCTTTGCTTTTCTTGTTCTCTACAGTGATGTGAACAAAATCAATGATGCTATTGCTGATCAAGCAGCACTCTTTATCCAGCGCTTCACCACCTTTATCTGTGGATTCCTGTTAGGATTTGCTAGTGGCTGGAAACTGACCATGGTTATTATTGCTGTCAGCCCACTACTTGGGATCGGAGCAGCTACCCTGGGCTTGGTAAGAGATTTTAATGCAATTCATGTCTTAATGCGATGATCATTTAGAGTGAGATAGTAATATACCATAGGGCTGGGGGCCAGATTCAGATCATAGTGGCACTGGTGTAAATACTTCCACTGAACTGTGTCAAGACTCTCAAGAGACTTTGGATTGACACTGCTATTGCTGAGATCAGAAACTGGCCGACAGTTTTCTTTCACTGTAATACCTAATGTTTTAGAAAGTTCCTCAACAAGGGGCTTGAACTGTGCATGTTTGTGAGAGGGAGGAAGTTCTGGTATAGTGCCATGTCTTGTTTGCCCCTTTCCCTGCTCCCCCATTTTCACTACCCCAACTGCAAGTGAACCAATGCTTCTCCTTTTCTGCAACCTTCCTCGTTGCAATTCCCCATTTTTCTGCCAGAAAATGAAAGTCAGGGTGAAAACAAAACCAAAATACCCCTCAAGTTCTGTGTGGCTATTCTTGCTCTCCATTTTCTCTGTGGTGGCTGCTCTATTTCCCTCCTATCCATTTGTCATTTTGCTCTTCTGTCCATTGAATGTTTCCTCTCTCTCTCTCTCTCTCTCTCTCTCTCTTTTCTTCCATATACTCACTGTCTCTCCCACTTGCTGGATCCCTCGCCCCATCTCTTTCTGGCCCCCTTTTCTCTCTGTTTTCTCCACAAACCTGGTCTCCCTGATATCTGGGCCACCATCTCCAAGCTTGTCCCATGGTGTTTCCATCTCTCCACTATCTGATGGATATTCTTTTAGTCTCTGGTGGGTCACTGTACTCCTAGCTGTCCAGTTTATCAGGAGTGTCTGGGTGGAGAAGCCTAAGCTGCTTTTAGGGCTCTGTGGCAGCTCTACAGCTGATTACTGTCATGGAATAAAAGAGGATGTGGAAGGGGTAGACTGAAATGAGTCGCTGCAACTGCCCTGCCACTA